GTGCGTGACTAGGTGCGAGGGTGCAGTCTTGTCCCTGCTGCCCGGCTGCCATGTCCTTGGCTGCGCTGCTTCGCGCGGGCCATGCTCGGGGGCGATTCTCCTCTGGGGGGGCTGCTGGTGAGGAGGGGGCCGCGGGGAAGGTGGGGTTGGGGCGATGGCGTGTGTGCCCACAGAGAGGGCTCTGAGTGCTGCCTCTGGCACACGTGCCATAGGTTCGCCACCAGTGAGTTACACTTATACTTGTGATAAAGGGGGAAGCCATTTTTATATATTTTTCTTTTTCATTTCTGCATTTTCTATTTTTTTTTATTCCTTTATAATTTTTAGTTTCTATTTGTTTTTATTGTTAAATGGTAATTTTTAATCAAATTGCTATATATATATTTTTTTTAAAAGGAAAATTCAGTTAATGCAGGAATCCCACATGGCCTGATTACTTCACGGCTCAGCTTTGTTACTCAACTATTTCTCAGCCTGCACAATTGCTAAACCCTTTGAGGGACAGCAACACAATCTATTTCTTGTTATCTTTCAGGCCTCAACTACCCTTCTGAGACTTCAGATTTTTTGTATCGTAACACAAGTCTTTGAAATCCGTTGATTGTTGAAATCTGTCACTGTCCAAATGATCACGATTTCTTTGCTATATTTGAACAGATCAGACTTGCAGGCAGAGACAAATTCATGTTTTGTTGTAACATAGCCTTATCCAAGCTGAACTTTTCCCAGTGAATCTATAATTCTCAGAAATTTCAGCAACTAACTGGGAATTCTGGAGAGTTTTATTACCAAAATATTTGGATGGCAATATGAGAGTGGGATAGGCTTCAAAAGCATGTCATTCCTAGCAGAGCCTGCTATTGTTTTCAGATGTTGTAATGTTATAGTTTCAATTATATTCTATACGCTTTTGAGATTATCACAATTGTAATGGAGAGAGTTGGTAATCAATGTTATAAATAACAACAAATAAAGTAGCTTCTGGAAGCAGCAGAGATTCTACTTTGATTTAATACACTGATTTTTGCTCCCCCCCCCCCCAAATTGAAATTTTAGTAAATTTATGACTTCTTCTATTTCCATCCTCAAAATATCTCCCAAAGAATAAAACTGTGCTGCTCAAATTTGGCTCTTTATTACTAAATTCCAGTGGGACAATCTTAGGGATACATTGGATGGGATGGGATGCTAGGTGACTTCATAAAGCCCCTTGGTTTGTCCACATTTGCACAACCTCTTAGATTGGGAGGAGAGAGTTTCCATCAAAGAACGGTTGCTGGAATTGGGTATGTCTAGTTTAATGAAGAGAACGACGAGGGGTGACACGATAGCAGTGTTCCAATATCTCAGGGCTGCCACAAAGAAGAGGGAGACAAGCTATTCTCCAAAGCGCCTGAAGACAGGACAAGAAGCAACGGATGGAAACTGACCAAAGAGAGAAGCAATCTAGAACTGAGGAGAAACTTCCTGACAGTTAGAACAATTAACCAGTGGAACAACCTGCCTCCAGAAGCAGTGAATGCTCCAACACTGGAAGTTTTTAAGAAGAGACTGGACAGCCATTTGTCTGAAATGGTATAGGGTTTCCTGCCTGAGCAGGGGGTTGGACTAGATGACCTCCAAGGTCCCTTCCAACTTTATTATTATTATTATTATTATTATTATTATTATTATTATTATTATTATTATTACTACTACTACTACTACTACTACTACTACTACTACTACTACTACTACATTCTAAGCATTTTCATTTCCATGTTCACATCATATTGGCAATGCATATTGTGAACAAACTAAAAACATCTGCATAAAAGAAACCATTAACATATTTTGCCTCACATTATACTATTAGTAGAACTGCATTTTCCAATTCTAGTTGCCCGAATTTTCTGCAGAGGTTGACATCAAGAGGAATTTATAACATCAGCATGATTAAAAGATGCTAAAGCTTTCAGTGCAGTAAAGAAAAGCAATCCTCTATTTATCAGGGAAAAAAGGAAGCTGCACTGGCCAATTAAAAGACTTTATACCAAGGGTAGGCAACCTTGGCTCTTTTATGACTCATGGACTTCAACTCCCAGAATTCCTGAGCCAGCATGGCTGAGCTTGGAAACCTCTTCCTTTCTCCTCAGCATGGCTGGCTCAGGAATTCTGGGAGTTGAAGTCCACGAGTCATAAAAGAGCCAAGGTTGCCTACCCCTGCTTTATACTACTGTATCTCTCCACATGCACTTTGCTATTCTTTTCTAGACTTGAAAAAGAATCTAAAACTTAAGTGGATCCATTGTTCCCCCTCACCAATAACAGTATATAAACAAAAGGGGTAAAACCATCAATACGGCATAACAACTTAGATACAAGTGGTCCTCGACTTACGGACACAATTGAGCCCAACATTTCTGTTGCTAAATAAGACATCTGATAAGTGAATTTTGCCCCATTTTAAAAACTTTGTTGTTAAGTGAATCACTGCAATTGTTAAGCCAGTAACCCAGTTATTAAGTGAATCTGGCTTCCCCCACTGATTTTACTTGTCAGAAGGTCACAAAAGGGGATCACATCGACTCCGGGACACTTCAACCGTCATAAATACGAGTCAGCTGCCAAGCGTCTGAATTTGGATCACGTGACCACGGGGATGTCGCAACGGTCGTAAGTGTGAAAAACAGTCATAAGTCACTTTTTTCGGTGCCGTTGTAACTTCAAACGGTCACTAAATGAACTGTTGTAGATCGAGGACTACCTGTACATATAATTCTATTTGTGTATTAGAAAAAAGTATGGAGACAAACTCTCTCTAATCTTCTGAGCCATGGACTGGAAACGATCTTGTGGTATTTTGAGAAGATCTACAGAAATAGGATATGTGAAGACTTTTTATTTCGTCTTCGTCCGTACATTGCTCCCAAAATAAAGTCCCCCATTTCTTCCATCTTGGAGGTAAGGATATACATTTCCATATCTCTAAATCAGGGGATGGCAAATCTAGACAGCATACTAAAAAGCAGAGACATCACCCTGCCAACAAAAGTGCGTATAGTCAAGGTCATGGTTTTCCCAGTTGCAATGTATGGTCGTGAAAGTTGGACCATAAGAAAGGCTGAGCGCCAAAGAATTGAGGCCTTTGAACTCTGGTGCTGGAGAAGACTCCTGCGAGTCCCCTGGACTGCAAGGCGATCAAACTGGTCAGTCCTAGAGGAGATCAACCCTGACTGCTCTTTAGAAGGCCAGATCCTGAAGTTGAAACTCAAGTACTTTGGCCACCTAATGAGAAGGAAGGACTCACTGGAGAAGAGCCTAATGCTGGGAAAGATGGAGGGCAATAGAAGAAGGGGACGACAGAGAATGAGGTGGCTGGATGGAGTCCCTGAAGCAGGAGGCGTGAGCTTCAATGGACTCCGGAAGATGGTAGAGGACAGGAAGGCCTGGAGGAATGTTGTCCATGGGGTCGCCATGGGTCAGACACGACTTCGCAACTAACAACAACAACAACAAATCAGGGGATATCGGTGCAATACTCACAGAGAACAGGGCAGGCCCCAAACTGTTTCTCTGCAATTTCACTTCAAAGTTCTATCTACAATATTAAAAATAATGCTTTGAAGTTCCATGTGAAAATTTGAGTATTTTAATGGGGGGGTGGAGAGATGTGCAAGACCAGAAATATTAAGTAGTCCAAGACACTAAGAGCATCTCATTCTTACACAAAACACGACATCCAGTTTGCTCTTTTCCAATTGCACACCATCTACAATATTAGAGAGAGGGAGAGCAAAGAAATCAACGTGAAATATTATGAACATTATGGGAAATATCCTTCAAGAATATTCCAGTGGTTTAGGACTGTACATCCCAGGCAAAAGATTCATCATACAATTTCTCCAAGCTGATACAATACATACGTTTCAGCATATTGTTAGTCATGCAGATGAACACAACTGTGTCACTGTTCTAATTCCCTTAAAAACAAAACAGATTGTTCACGTCTGCAGAATCCACAGAAATGGTCTCCACGAAACAAAGGCATTAAAAACCCTAATTAGTTCAGAAAATTTAGCCTCCTGTCCAAGGAGAATCATCCCTCCTTATCAAATGAATAACCATTGTGAAGTCACGCTACTTCTAGTACAGCGGTTGTCAACCTATGGGTCGCGACCCCATTTGGGGTCGATCGACCATTTCACGGGGGTCGCCAAGCAAGGCTGTCCGCCATTTTTTCCCCCCTTTTCCGGCGGGTGCCTTACCTCCCTTGAGCTGGGCCAGCTGGTGGTTGGCCTGCTCCGTCTCTGCTGCTTGCCAGCTATGCCTCGGCCGGCGCAGGGGGCAGAACCACGCATGTGCGGCGCTCCCGGGCAGGGAAAGTCCTCGACTTACGACCGGTTGGGTAGTCCTCGACTTACGACCGGTTCAGTCCTCGACTTACGACCGGTTCAGTCCTCGACTTACGACCGGTTGGGGGTCGCGGCATTAAAAAGGTTGAGAACCACTGTTCTAGTACATTGGCACGGCAGTTAGTTAGCGGCGTAAGGGCTCACCCATGCTCATCTTGATTGGCAAATTTTCCCGGCTCGCGGCTTCTACTAAGTGTCTTCTAACTTCCATCAAACTTTCCTTCTGTTTTAGATTCATTAAGGACTCCCACAGAGCTCTAGCAGCTGGTTC